AGTTTACTGTCTTAGAAAGCAGAAAATATTGACATTTAAGAAGCAGAAATGACAGAATTTAGACTTTTTTCCCCCTTAAAAACAGTCTCTAAATGAGCAACGTGATTATTTGTTTGGTTTTAAAACAACAAAATGGTCAAAAATGTAATGGTTTGTCCAACAGTATTCAGTTTACTATCGAAACCAGAAAATATTCACATTTAAGAAGCTGGAATAACAGAATTTAGACTGTTTTCCTTAAAAACAGTCTCAAAATGAGGAACTTGAGTAATCGTTTGGTATTTAATGCGACAAAATGGTAAAATATGACTTTTTTTTACTCCAATAGTCATTCAAACCGATTAATCAATGAGTTGTTTGATCTATAAAATGTCAGGGAATGGTGTAAAATGTTTATCAGTCGAGTTTTGTCCACATATGTTCAGTTTACTGCCGCAGAAACCAGAAAATATTCACATTTAAAAAGCTGGAATCTCAAAATTTGGACTTTTTTTGCTTAAATACTTACTCAAATCGATTCATGGATTTGTCATTTGGTCTATAAAAATAATTTAAAAGTGGTGAAAAACAAGAAATCTACATTATTAAAATAATAAAATCTTGTTTTACTCAATCATAATTGTGGTGAACAGTTAAAATAATATCGTGCCGTATGTCTTTTTCTAAACATTTTTCTTCGACCTTGATGGAAACGACTGATGAATATTTGACTAGACGTTTGTTCAGTTAAGATGACAAATGTCTTGTTTTGTCCAAATATATTCAGTTTACCATCATAAAGGAGGAAAGAAAATAGCAGAAAATATTCACATTGAAGAAGCTGCCACCAGGAATTTAGACTTTTCTTGCTACGATAATTACTCAAACTGATTAATTACTGATTAATCAGCTCGTAGTTTGTTTTGTAAAACGGCAGAAAATTGAAAATTGAAAATATGCATGATTAAAATAATTAAATACAGTAGTTAAGTGTTGGAACAATAAAAAAAAAAAAAGAACATACTATGTCTTTTCCTGAAACCTTTTCCTTGATGTTGATGGAAAACATTATGAGGAATCAAAGAATTTCATCAGTTTTTATTGAAATTAATCAAACTAAATTAATCAATTATCAAAAATAGTTAATTTAATAGTTGAAAACTAATTGATCAATCGTTGCAGCTCCATGCAAAACTCAAAAATATTCAGTTCACCGTCACAGAAGAGGAAAGAAACAAGAAAATGTTAGGATCAGTGAATTGTGACTTATTTTTAACTTAATAATCAACATCTGATTGGTGATTAATTTATTATTTGTAGAAGCCAAATGTATTAAACTCATGTCATAACTATGAAAACAAGCCAAAAATATTCACATTTGAGAAGCTGGAGCCTGTGAATAATTATCATTATGTGATTAATTGATTCGTTGTCATTTGTTAAATTAACCAGCAACAATTTTGATAGTTAATTAATCAGTTTGAGTCATGTTTCGCCCCCCAAAAAACAAAATTTCTCGATTGCAGCTTCTTAAATGTGAATATTTTCTGGTCTTTCCTCCTCTATGGCAGGAAACTGAACATATTTAGATATTTGTAAACACTGATTATGAATTTTTCCCCATTTTTGACATTTTATAAACCAAACAACTGATCGATTAATCCAGAAAACAATCATTACTTGCAGCCCTGTTTTTACCATTTAGATGATTACCATGAAAACAGTTGCTGATCTGTTTCCTGTCAGTTTAATAATAATGATTATTTTAAGGGGTGATGCTCTGTAATGTTTTATTTTTCCAGTGTGAGTCACGGTGGGTGTCCTCACAGGACTCGAGCAGTGATGATTATAAAACAGAAAAAAACCCCAGAAGCTGCTGAGTTTTAATGATCCGTCCGGATGAACTTCAAAGACGCCAGCGAAAACATGTGTAGAGTAAGAAAATGGCTCGTAGTTATTATTCACCGTGTGTCTCCTTTGATGTTGCAGGATCTCGGGAGTCAAGCCAAGATGTGACTGTCACGCCGCGTCATCGTTTGGATCAGTCCGGCCTTGTTTCCATAGCAACAGAGATATCAGCGTATCCTGAAAAAGTCCCACAATGCAGTCCTCCAGCTGCTCCTCCTCTCAGCCTCCCAAGCCACGGCGCTTCGACGTCAGCAGGCGGACCAACGCCTCGGTGGGTCCCAAGTCAAACAGTTTCCAGAGAGAGGATAAAAACATGAACACCATCGCCGCGCCGTCGCCGAGGCGGGCGACGAAGGGCCCGGCTGCTCCATCCAGAACCAGGGTGCAGCCTCGAGCCCCGGTGAGCCAGTCCCGGCTGAGCTCTCAAAAACAGGCTTCTTCCACCGTCCAATCCAGATCCACCAAGCCCAAACCGAAGAACGCCCGTGCGTCAGCGGCAAATCAGATCGCGCCCCCCGCCGCCAATGCCGCTGCTTCTTCTCCGCCTCCCGCACTTCCCTCCGTCCTGCCCCTCGACCCGAACTGCAACGAGCCGAGCCTGCCGTGCCTGTGCTGCGACGGACGCTCCCCGCAGGACAACAACAGCATGTTCAACCACAACCACAACAACAACAACACCATCTCCCTCCGGCAGCAGATGCAGCTCCCGCCTCCTCCGCCCTCGATGCCCCAGAGGCAGGATGGGAATGGATCCAAGGAGCCTCCACCGGCTCAGGCCCAGCTGGAGCCCCCCGCCCGGCCTGCTGCCAATCTGGAAGAGAAGAGTGAGCTGGACAATAAGAAAAAGGTGGAGGAAGAAGACGATGACGATGAGAGCAGTGGAGATATCGATATTGACGATAATGATGATGACGACGACGATGACGACACCCTGGTCCCTTCATGCTGCGACTGCCCCCCATCCCTCCTCGAGTTCTCGCTCTCCTCCTCGACCTCATCGTCCTCCACCTCCATCAGCTCCTGCTCCGATCTTGAGTCCGACTGTGCAGATCAGTCCACCTCCATCTGTGACAATCTGTCCCCCAAAGACCACCCTGAACTGCAGCCTCCTGCCCGCTCGCCTCCATCGCTTCCTCTCAGCCGAAACCCCTTCGTCTTAACGCAACATTCCCCGATCGACCCCTGCTCCCCAGACGAAGGTTATCCGTCTGCACTCGACTCCCCTTCTCACGACTACTTAGGAGTCAAAGGTGACTCAGAAGTCGCCAAACTAGGCCTGCTCGACTTCCTGGAGTCGGTGGGAGAGTTTGGGAAAATGGAGCGTTTCAGCCAGGTGATCCAGGTGGCTCGCTGGGATCTGGAGGGTGAGCAGCACTGGGACGTCCTGCGGGATCGCTTAGACCACCTGGATCGCTTGGAGAAGGTGAACAGAGAGGTGAAGCTGGCCTACGTTGCCAGACTCCACGAGAAGGGGTTCGATCTCGGGGATCTGGAGGAGCAGGACCTCTCGGACGTCATGGACGAAATGGGAAACATCGAAATTCCCTGGAAGTTGTATAAAAACCGCAGCGGATCGATGGGAGACTCTCAGGAGTTTTCGGACGCCGGCGTCGACCTCACAGCTCCATCGGACTGCGAAGATCCTCTCGCTCCGGATTCCCTCACACCTTCCCCCGTCGAGCCGCCACCGAGGCCCCCAAAACCTCCGGCGCGCCACGCCAGCGTGAGCTCAGACCTCCACACCTACATCAACATCAGCAGGGAGACCACCTCCATGGCCGTGTCCACCTCCCCCACGCTGTCCACCTTCTCCCCAAACTCCTCCTCGCCAACCTTCACCACCTTCAGATGTGAGAAATCCCCGCCTCCAACTCCCCCGTCCATCCCTCCCCTCCCCGCGTCCAAGCCGGTCCCTTACCTCACCCTCTACACCACCCCATCCCCACCTCCGGCCATCCCCACCCCGACACCTCCCATCCCTCCCCCACGAAGGCGTCACCTCGCCCGGAAGGAAGCCCAACGTCTCGCCGCTCTTCAGGCCGAGCAGGAAAAGACCCCACTGTCCCTCCCGCCACCCACCACCCGCCCTCCACCTCTTCCTCCCCCACCCATCATCTCCGTCTCCTCCTCCTCACCCCCTGCCATACCGCCTCCCCCAGCCCTGCCTCCCCCTCCGTCCTTCCACGCTCTGGACGTGGAGATCCGAAAGCTGCTCATGCTGGCCGGGTTGACCCAAGCGGAGCTCCTCAAACTCAGCCCGGAGTTGGGCGTCTGCGTCGGGGGTTTGGAGGACGAAGGAGATAGTTTCACTCGATCTGTGGAGTCTCAAGGTTTCAGACTGCGAGACGGTGGGGAGGAGGGTGACACAGGTGGGTGGCAAAAGTTGGATGGGAAAGCAGATGTGGGCGAAGAAGGCAAAAAGAAAGACGAGAGCAAAGACACCCAAAGAACCACCTCATTCACCGAGATGGCGAGAAGAAGGAAGAGGAACACTGCTGTGACGTCCGACCACTACTACACCACCAGTTTCACACACGAACCTAAAGCGAAGAGCTATGAGACTTTCCGTTACCCCACCAACGTACCAGACTCGCCTCCGCCTCCTCCACCTCCTCGCCCCTTACCCCCGATTCCCCCTTCAGTGCCGTCCCTCAAAGTCAGCACTCTGCCCGCCAACTCCGAGCAGCCGGAGCGCTTCGATTGGCTCATTGCTTTCACGCCGGAGTGCGACGCTCCGCCGCAGCTTCCATCCTTAGAAAAGAGACGATCCCACGTGGAAACGCAGAAGAAGCTCAGCCCTCCAGCTCCGAAGGTGACGACGTTCAAAGAGCTGCGTTTCCGCAACAAGAGCGCCTCCCCTCCGACGAAGGTGATCACCGACCCCGACCCCGACCCCACGGTCATCACCCCGGACCCGGACATACTCTACAACCTGAGGTGGAGGAGGGAGAAGGCCGGCAGCGACGGCAGCCAGTGGGAGTACACCTCCCAGGCCCAGGCCCTGTTCATGCAGCCGCCGCCGGCCCTCACCTCCATGGCCGCCCTGAAGGAGATGCTCCAGCGGGCCGACGAGGAGGGAGGCCGGCTGGAGCTGTGTCCGTCGCAGAAGATGGGATGCTCGGTCAGCGACAGCAGCCTGTGGACGATGGGCCGAGAGTGGGAGGGCGAGGAGGTGAGGAGGGAGGACAAGGAGGAGGAGGAGGAGGAGGAAAAGGAGGAAGTGGAGGAGGTGAGAGGCCGAGCTGACGGAGGACGGACGGTCGAGTCAAGAACCACAGGTGAGTGTGGTGATGAAGGAGGCTGTTCATGATATCAGGTTGAGGTCTGTGTGTGCAGCAAAAAAGCCAAATGATGATGGAGGTGATTCGAGGTGGTACATTTTTCTTTAAAGCATCAAGCTTGGTTCACTCGTGCACTTATTACTATACTTACATTGTGTATTTTGCACCGTATCTCCTGAACCAAACACGAAAACACAGTTAAACGTCTGCACCAATTTTAACTTTCACTGTCCATTAACCTGGCAATTATTTTCTGAATTGATTGATTCATTTTTCAGTCCATACAATGACAGCAAATAGTGAAAAAATAGCAAATAAAATTAAAATAACTAAATATATTAGCTTGTTTTACCCGAACTGCGTTCAAAAAGTTAAACAAAGCAAAACAAAAACAAAGACGTCTTATTGCTTTTTCTTGATGCTGATGGAAAAAATCATGATGTCAAGTCAACTAATGATTATCCTTCACTGTGGGTTAATCAATTAGCTGTTGAGTCTCTGTTGAAAATCCATAAGGTTGTCACCTCACTATGTTAAGTCCTGTGAGGCTCCATATGCTCGGAATCGGCGCTAAGTTGTTTGGTCTCTAAAATAGCAGAAAATGGTTTTCAAAAAAAAGTGAATTAATGTTTCACAAAGACTAAAATGACAAATGATCTGATTTAAGTCCAAAGATCTTCATTTTCCTGTCATAGAGGAGGAAAAACACAGAAAATATTCACATTTAAGAAGCTGCAATCACAGAATTTAGCATTTTGTTCTTAAAAATTACTCAAACCGATTATTAAAACAGATAATGTAAGAGCTAGATGATTAATTGATTAAGCGAGTAATTGCTGCAGCTCTATCCAAAACCCAAAGATGTTCAACTTGTTATCAAACGATAAACAGTGAAATAATGAGCATATTCACATTGAGAAACTAGAAGTAGTGAATATTTGGTGCTATAGCTGCAACTAACTACTGTTTGATTAACTGTTTGGTCTCTAAAATGTCAGTAAATGTCGAAAAATGTCCATCAGTGTTTCCCAAAGATGACAAAGTCCAAAGATCTTCAGTTTACCATCACAGAGGAAGAAAGAAACCAGAAAATATTCACATTTAAGAAGTTGCAATCAGGACATTTTGAGGTTTTTTCCTCAGAAAATTAGTCAAACCGAGTTGCCGATTAATTAAATTTCAGCTGTAATGCCAAATATTCACAGGTTCCAGCTTCTCAAATGTGAATATTATTGGCTTGTTTTGATAGTTGTGATAATAAACTGAGTATCTGTGGGTTTCGGATAGAGCTGCAGAAGTTATTTGATGAGGTTAAGTTTGTCGACAACGATTTTGATAATCGATTTGAGCAATTTTAAGAGAAAAAAAGTCGACATTCTCTGATTGCAGCTTCTTAAAAGTGAATATTTTCTGTTTCCTTTAATCCTCTGTAACAAATAAAAGCCTCTTTAAAGTGCGTCTGACGTGGAAGAGACGGCGAAGAACAGATCCAGCAGCAAAATGCAATCAAACATGCAAGTAAATATTCTCATTCGACCCATTTTTGAAGCTCATCTCAAACATTGTTTCGGTCTCTGCGGTCTCTTGTAATGACCAGACGGATTATAAAACGTTACAGAGTCCGGCCTCGATTCTCAGATGCCGTGATTCGATTCTCTCAGCGTCTCTGATTTCTGCAGTTTATGAGGCCGTTTATGGCGTCTCGGTGGACGTTCACCATCATAAGCAGATGTGCGGGCTTGGTTTCAGGAGACAAGATGCAAAAAACACACAATTTACTCGCACCACGATTCACCTGGACGAGAAACAGCATCAAGAGACAGAAAACCAGAGGATGCAGGCAGATGAAAATGGAGGCTTATAATACATAAATATGATGTTTAAAGAGCTGCAGGGCGAGCGTGAGTCACAGATATGATGGATAAATGATGACGAGGGACGAGCAGAGTGCAGCCGGAGACGCTAGTGAAGGTAACATGAGGAGAGGCTTGGAAAGTTTCCAGCCAGCATTTCCTGTACTGGTTATGGGAGTGTGATGTCATCGCTGCCTTATTCAATTATTCATCCTCTCCTCAGACGGAGGGGGGAGGCGGAGGGGGGAGATAATGGAGAGCCTTTAACTCCCCCCTTTCTTTCTTTCTTTCTTTCTTTCTTTCTCTTTTTGTTCTCCTGAAATCTGCTCCCTCTCTCTGCCTCCTGCTCTGGTTTTTTAAATCCCATCAGCTCGGGATGCTTTATATGGACGCTGTCCATCCTGTCTCCTCCTCCTCCTCCTCCTCACCCCTCATCCTCACCCCTGAGCCTCACCCCTGCTCCCTGGAGCGGCACAGAGAGCTCAGATCAAGTTACCGATCTCACGCGGCGCTGCAGTAAGACCACATAGAAAACCCAGCTTTGGTTTGTCAGCATCCAGGCGGCAGAGTTAAGAGTTTAATTTGTCTTAATGCACGATTTATCATTTCAGCATCGACGCCGGGATGCAAAGCAAAATAAATTAACTCAAATATATCCTCCTGCAACTTCTTTTTGGCTGCTGAACACAAACGGAAAGCTTGCACATTCTCCAGGTCTGTCGTACGCAATTTACTCCAATTTAACGGCTCTTTCTTTGGCTGAATTTTTTTTTTAAAACCACAGAGTTTGTTGACATGCAGCTTCCGCGTGAGCACAGCAAAATGAGTTGAGGTTTGGTTGCAAAAAGATGAGCCTCTAATAGTCCCAGCAGCAGAGAGAATAGTGCAGAAACGTAGTCGAACATCAGGAGAAAAATACAGAATTTATGAGCGTATTGTACGGATTCTTCTATATGTAGTTACTCTCTATGCAGAAAGAGTGAGTTATTTAAATCTGCAGAACAAAACGTGGTATGACAAGTGCAAACATGGATCTGAATGTTATTCCAATTTGCCCATTTTTTTTCTAAATTATTGTCCATTTTCTATTTAGATGCACTCTCCTACAAAATCTTGCAAATCGTTATAAACTCATTAATTCCTCCTAAATACAGTTATTCTGTGAAAACTCCTGAATTTCTTTTAATACACGAATTGCTTAAAAACAAAATATTGCAATGTCAGTTTATTCTAATATGACGCAGCCATGCAAAAGGCTGATCACTTTATTAGTTCAATTACTTTTTCTGATAATCTTAACATTTTGGCTTCATGTATAAATGAACGTCTTTGTTTACTTTCTGCAAAGTCGCAGTAAAAATCCAACTCTTTTACCTTAAACATGGCAAAAATCTGAACTACATGTAGTCACATTCACAGAGATGCTCAAGTTACAGATTTATTGAGTTGTGTGAAGTATTTTGAAGGTATTTTCCCGAATTTTAGCACCAGCATTGATCCAGAAAGTAGTTTGGAAATATAAAAACACCTTCCTCGTTCCCATACAATAAAAGGTGATAAATCCCATCTAATCCAGTTTGTTGCTTCCAGCTGTTTAGGAGTCATTCCTCTAAGTTTATTATAAAACCTGCAGCACTAGACAATTAATTAATTACCTGTAATTATAAGTGAACCCCAGCATGGAGACAGGATGGATCTGACGGCAGGTCAAGCTGAGAACTTTTCTAAACTCCGAGTCACAGTTTATCAGCCGCAGGTGAATCCAAAGCAGGATATTTTTTATTCATCGTCATCCTACGTGGATGAAATTCAAGAAATCCCAAATAAACGAGGCTGTTAGTTGTTTGAACAGTTTGACAAGCTGCTGTTAGTTCAGATTTTTGTGCAGTATGCGTTTTGAACATCACATCCCTGTCGTTTGTGAATGCCGTTACCTTAACAGATTGATAAAGCAGCAATATTGCATCTAGTTTATGGTTTTTGCCGTTGCTTTCTAGATATCTAATCAGAAAGAAATTATGCGTTGCAACATCTGCAGCAAATAAGATAAGACGAGCAAGATGCGGTGAATAAAAGTAGAAATAAATAAGATTTAAGTACAACACATTGGTGAAATAAAAAGTTAAAATAAGTAAAAAGTTACGCTGGCAATTATACTAAGGCAATATCATTATACTAAAAGCACTGTGGAGTTAAGCGCAGTCCTAATCAATGCAAAGAAGCAAATCTAAACTCACAAAACTACGTGCAAAGACAAAAATCCAGCAGTTTGTACAAAAAGTAAAGTGACGACTGATAAATAGACATAAACACACGAAAATTAACATTTTTTTGCCAAATATGGCTCCTAAAAAACGAGATAAAAGTGAAACGTTGGCCACGTGATCAAACATCAGGTGTGAGGAGCAGACAAGGAATAGGTGTGTACACCTTTAAGGGCCCGGGGGGCGGAGCCTGCTGCACGGACCAATCACCAAGCACCTGTGTCTGAAAAATAGGAAGTATCATGTGCTGGTTCCAGCTGAGAGGCAGCTCCAGTCGAACCCAGGTACAGTTCTTCTGTTAGCTCTTTGGCGGGCGTCGGGTCGAACTCGGCAGGTAGACGGAGCGAAGCGGAGCTGAGGTGAAGCTGCAGCGAGGCGGCAGCATCACTCACATCTCTGCTGTCTGTCCACTGACTCAGCATTACACCGTGGAGGAGGGGAGGAGGAGGGGAGGAGGGGGAGGAAACGGGAGAGAGAGAGGGAGAGAGAGGGAGAGAAAACAAAGGCAGACGGAGAGAGAAGGTGATCCAGAGGTGACGGCGGCACTGCAGCAAAGAAAAAAACCACCAAATGTTCAGCAGGAAAACGTTTGTGTCAGAAGTTTGAGCAGGAGTGTGGAACAGGAAGTGAAACCAGATGAAGTAAACTTCTCCTGGAACCTTTGTGGCTCGTTTGTCACTGCGGCGATGAAGCGAGCGACAGATTGTGCTTTATTATAATTATTCTTTTTCTTTTGTATTCATTTCCTGTCGCGTCTCCTCAAATGAAAGAGATGTGTTTTTACTGCTGCTCATAAATCCGCTCCATCGACCTCCATCTACTGTCAGCGTTTACTGTCGATCAACTGTTTGACCTGTTTGACCCTCTGAACTCCAGGCTGGGTGGGGTTTTTCTTATTTAAACTCACTGTGGGATCATTTTTCACTGCGTCACCATGGAAACAGAACAACCAGGAAGAAGGAGAGAGAATGAAAAATGTCTTGGATGGAGTTTAAACCTTAGCAAAGCTTAAAATCAAAGTTTCTCTGATTTATTTTACAAAAATTTTAAAAAGCTAGAATCGACCTGTAGGTGCCCACAGCTGTTACCAACACTGAAAAAACATTTAAATAAAATACCTCCTTTAGATGCTATAGATATTTGCATTTTTAGAACATTTCCTCTCCTCCATATTGATTAAACTGGCTGCATTTTTAATATCACTCCAATTTGTCAGTTCAGTTCAGCCCAAAAACGCAAAATCGTCGTCACCTGACTGCAGCTGAGTCAGTCGTGGCTTCACTTTTGCACCAAACAGCAAAAAAAAACAACTTTCAGATGACATCTGTAGAGTTTAGTGAGTTTGTGGCTGATAGATGAAGTCATTTTGGCAATTTTGAGTAAACAAACTCTCAGTATTTTTGCTGTCGAGACTGTTGGTCCCAGCTGAGTCAGTTGTGGCTCCTTAATTGCACAAAGAGGCAGAGAATTATTTGTTTTTTCTAGAATCTAATTTGCGCAAACGGTTTGTTTTTGGCAAATTTTTAAAACGAAACAGGTCGAATGATTTTTAATGAAGTATCACAATTTTAAGTTTAGATTCGGTGAATTTTTTTGATTGATCTACACATCACAGATGAGTAGTTCAAGGACCGTCAGAACTCTAAGTATCTGACAAATTTTCCTGTTTTTAAAGTTTCTCTCTCTGACAAAAGCTGTAATTTTGCTGATTTTTTTGAAGCACCGTGTTTTGGGGTTCGGAGGGTTCAATCCTGCATTGCTGCATGGTGATACATGATGACCAGTTCTCAGGAATGTACATTTTTCTCTCGACAGACACTAACATTTTCTGCATCTCTCTCTCCTTCCCATTTCTCTGCCTCATTTTCTTTCTTTAATCTCATTTTTTTTCTTTTTTCTTTTCCTCACCTCTCCATCCCATTCGGTTGTTTCCATCGTTTGTCCAACGGCTTCGCTCCCGCTTCTCTTCCTCTCCATCCCGACTCCCCCCCCCGACTGAACCGAGCAGTCTCCTCACCCCCGCTGTCCCTCGCCCAGCCCTCCCAGCCCTCCCAGCCCTACTTCCTGCACCACACCGCCCTGCCTCCCTTCCGCCCTGGCTTCTGCCCCTCCCAGCCCCTTGCAGATCCTCGACCCTGCAGCCACGTGGGCCGAGAGTCCGCAGACGAACGCTGCGGCCCGCCGTGGGCTCCTGCCGCCGGCTCGCCTCCTACAGACTCGTTGTTTAAATCCGACTCTCCTCACGACTTTGAGGATGATTTTAAGACGGATTGCCTGCGTATGAGTGACTCGATCTGTAATTCCGACTCCCTGTACGAGTCAGTGAAGCCGAGCTCTGAGGCGGCAGGTTGCACGACGCCATATAAGAACATCGACGTCATGATGACGCATTCGAACGGTGTCGGCGCCGCAGACTCGCTGTGCTCAGACCAGATTAAGGCGAGGACGTCCAAAGAGCTCCCCCCTCTGCCCGCCTACTACCTGTACCACCCCAAGAACTGCCCCCTGCACCGGGGCGCTCCTCCCCGACTCTCCCCCATCGGCGCCCTCTCCCCTCCCCGGCGCTCTGGAGCTCCGCCTCCGGGCGCCGCCGCTTCCTGCCTCAGCTCCCCGCTGTTCCCCCGCTCGCACACCCTACCCGCCCTGGCTGCTCCGCTCTACTACCCCAACCTGTACCCGCCCGTCCCGCCCAGAGCGCCTCCCCTTCCCCCTAAACTGTACCAGGCTCCTCCTCTTCCTCCTCCTCCGCAGTCACGCGTGGCGAGTAAGACTCCTCTTTCTGCAGACATCTGTTACACTTCCTCTCTCTTTGTCGGACATCTTTGCATGCTTGTGTGTCTGTTTGTGTCTGTTTGTTTCCCAACGCTGCAGATTTACAGGTTTGAAAGGACGAGTTAACTGGAAAACAGAAAAGAGCCACGAGTTCCAGAACAATAAGTCAAAAAGAAAACAGTGGAATACTCAAAGGTTGAAAAACTGGTGAAAATAACAGCAAAAGCCATAAAATAAATGATTTAAAACTGATTTAAATGAAGCAAAACACGTTGTAAAAGAACAAATTACTATTTATTATTTTAATCTATAAATATAGGTCACTGATGTGGATTTTATTTTGACATATTTTTGTTTTTCTTTTACAGTTAAAATTTAAAATAAAAATTATAATAATATCTTTTTCTGTGGTTTTGCAAAACAGTAAAAATCTGTTAAGGAAAAGATGCAAAATTATTTACCTTTAAAATATATATATATAAAAATCTCTCAAAATAATATTTTTGACAGATTTAAATGCAGCTTAAAAATTGTATTTTTGTATTGTTATGGTCAGATGTAAGTTTTAAAAAATGTAGATTTTCTATGTAAATGTTATTTACAGTGTGGGACTTTTTTTTTTTTTTTTTTACAATTAAAATGTAAAATATTTAAATAATTAAAATATTTTTTATTGCTTATGATTTAGCAAAACCTAAATTTTTCCTGATTTAACAAAACACTTTTTTTTTTTGAAATAAACAATAGAATTAATAAAGAAATAAAAAATCTGAATATATATAATTTTTCTTTTAAATAACAGCAAATATCTGTAGATTTGTGTTATGATTGGTGCAATTAAATACAGCAAAAAAAAAAGCTATTTTATGGTGTGGCGTGTAAAAGAAGAATAAATTTAGAAAAGTATAATTTTTTATGTGGACGTTATTTAGACGTTAGATGTAATCTGTAATACAATAAAACAATAAGCAGCTGTATAATAACAGTAAATTGTTTTTAGAAAGTCACAGTTAAAAGAAGCTGTTTTATTGGTCAGAAGCTGGAGCTCGTCTGATCTGAACCGTCCTCCTAAATCTGCACAAGTTCTGGAGACGAATAGCGGCTGGTCCTGTCACTTCCTGTCTGCCGTCACTCCCATCATCCTCTCTGTCTGTCTGTCTGTCTGTATCTGTCTGTCTGTATTTGGTGTTTCTGTGTGCATGACGTGAACACGAGCATCTCCTGCAAAGCACAACCCAAAGAAGCTGCTTGATGATGATGTAATGGAGAAAAAACAGCTTTATTTATTGTTGTGTTTGTCCAATTAGGCCGACTAATTAACACCCTGCTCATCAGCTAGACGTCTAACTAGTTTATATAAATCGTTTTATATAAACACCTGCTCTTTTGCACAAGTGTGTCATTTTCTCTGACCCGGTTCTGGTCCAAGCTGCTGCAGCTCCTCCTGTGTGGATTCCTGTTAACCCTCTGAACTCCGAGCAGCTTCTGGGCGTTTTTACTCACTGTGGGCTCATTTTTCACTGCAACATGAAGTCCTGCAGCTCTGTGGGAGCAGGACAACGTGAAAACGTGGCTCCACATCCGCCAGATTTTTCACTAAAACATATCATACATCTGCTCTGTCCAAAAAGTCCCAGAATTCTTGTAATCTGACAGTCGGTCACAGCCGAGTCAACAGCAGCTTCACTTTTGCACCAAAGAATTCAGAATTTTGTGTTTTTTACTGAATCTAGTTACTGCAAATGGTTTATTTTTGGCAATTTTTTAAAAATGAGACACATAGGATAATAGAATTCTGATCAAATATCAGGATTTGAAGCTTAGATTTGGAGTTTACTGACAGAAATGTTTACAGAAAGTTAAAAATCTGACAATTTTTGTGTGGTTACAGTTTTTGACTGATAAATTAAGTCATTTTTGCAATTTTTAAAAAAGGAAACACGTCAGAAAGCTGAAAATCTGGCGTTTTTTGTGTGTGTGTGTTTGTACAGCCTCTGGCTCCAATAAAATGAGTAATTTTGGTGTTTTTTAAAATATTTTTTTAAAGAAAACATCCCAGAAAGTTAAAAATCTGACAATTTCACAGTTTCTGGCTCTGATAAATTCACTAATTTCTGGGATTTTTAAAAAGAAAAGGTGCCAAAAGGCTAAAAAAAAAAAAGTGTTTGTACAGGCTCTGATGAAATGAGTAATTTCAGTGATTTAAAAAATAATAAAAATGCCAGAAAGCTGCCAATTTTTTGTGTTTTCACAGTTTCTGGTTCTGATAAATTTACTAATTTCTGCGATATTTTGTTAAAGAAGTCATTCCTGTGGAGCCCAGCTGCAGGTTCCAGGGTTCAGAGGGTTACTCGAGTGCGTGTGAACCTTTGTTTCTGTGTTTCTGTGAGAGTCTGGCTGAATGCAGACGATCCCGTTCAGCCCCGATGCAGAACAAAAGCCGTCTTCACGGGTCCAGATGTGGAAAAAACTGACAGCAGAGCGACACTTCTAGGACGAACTCACACACAGTCTGTTGTCATCTGCTTCCATCTGCATCCTCACCGCTTAGCTGCTCCCACTGATACCACTGACGTCTCGGTTCTAGTCGCTGCTGACTCATTCAGCTTCTGTTTAATTAGTTTTATAAATATGTGTGCGCTAACTGTTTGCTCTTCTGCTGCCAGCTGTTCGCAGCGTGTCGTTCGCCGGCTCCGTGCAGCAGACTGACGCTCCGTGGATGGGCGAGGATGTGAAGCGTCCACTGAGAGGCCCGTCCTCGCTGTGCCTGCAGGAGAAGAAAGGTGCGTTTGTTTGTTTGTTTGTTTGTTTGTTTGTTTACCTGCACGTCGTTGCTCTGGTAACCTCCGTCCTCCCTCTGCAGCCCTGGTCAGCGCTGTCAGCGTGGCCGTGGAGGCCGTCTTGGCTCAGTTCAGCTCATCTCGGACCGTGGTTCAGAAGGTCAGTCGCCGCTGAGTTAGCCAAGCTTTCGTTTCTCTGCTGACTGAGCGTTTTGTTGTGTTTCGATGCGCAACAGAAGTGAGTCCACGTCGCGCGAAACATCGCTTAAATGTCAAATGATTCAACGTTTTACAGCCTCGGAAGGCTCTCATGTAAAATGAATAACTGTTGTTTCAGCCGCAGGAGTTCAGTTGAATAAAACCTTCTCTCTTATAAATACTGCAAAGGTGTTGGACTGGATTACATTCAGGCCACAAACTCCTCCTGCTGGAGTATTCCTCTTCTTCATCTGGTCAGACAGTATTCTGGTTTATCCTCAGACATTCATCTATAAATGTCATCAACACCTTCTGCCCTCATGCAGCTCCATATCATGATGCTGCCACCTCCGTGCTTCACTGTCAGGACGATGCATCCACTGTGGTGGTCCTGGTCAGGTTCACACCAAACAGGCTGGACTCCATCTGAGCCCAACACATTTATCTTCATCTGACCAGAGAATGTTCTCCAACATCCATCAGGTTTCTGTTCATGTTGTTTAGCAAAGTTTAATCTGGAAGTTTTGACCCAAACAGCTAGCAGAAGGTTTTTCTTGTCCTCCGTCCACAGAGGCTGATGTTCTGAAGTGTCTGAGCTTCACACTAACTCTGGTCTCCATTGATAACCCCTGTACCAAGTCTGAAGCAGCAGTTTTTCACAGCTAGATTGTGAAAGTAGTTCACGAGGACGACCACTGCAGCCCTGATCAGTGCTACTATGGCTCCTTCTAGACCTCCTGGTTACTGCTGTGGTTCTCTGGTTTTTAGATGATCTTCTGGATCCTTTTTCCATTTTTGTCACATTTTTCAGCTCCTCTGTTCAGTTCTTCTCCGCGTGGAGCCGTGATGCAGACATGCAGAGCTCATGTTAGAACCACAGATTTGTCACTTTTGGGCCTTAAATTCTCGATATCGTCTTTTAAAAGTATTTGTTTCTGATTGTTCGTGAGAGAAGCTGCTTTACCGTTTAACCGTGAATCGTCTGACATTTGGCCGACGTCGGACTCACTCCTGCTGTCTGCTGTGACTGAATGTGGTCGTGTATTCAATGCGTTGTTTACCTCTGAACCTCCTCTCCCTTCTTGTTTCGTTTGTCTCTCCTCAGTCTTTCTCAGTTAACAAGGTACTAGAACCTCTTTAGATAATCCGATCTCTGAGTCAGACCGATCGCTCTGTGGACTAACTCCGCTCTCCCTCATCACCTCTCATCACATCATCTCCAACCCCTCCGTCTATGTGTCCCATTTCTCTGACCTCCTCCCAATGACTGCACATCTCCCTATCCCATCCTCCTCCTCCTCCTCCTCCTCCTCCTCCTGCTCTCCTGTCCTCAGGCCTTATCAGGAGACAGCACCATAAATCCATCCCTGGGCCGTCTGGTGCTGCAGTGCCTCTGCCCCGCCCTCCACGGCCTGCTGACCGACGGCCTCAAGCCCCACCAGAGTGACCTGATTGCGGGCAGGAGGCCGAACTCCGCCTGGGGTCTGGTCCAGGCTTCAACCAGGCCAGGTAGCGCCCCGCCTGGATGCTAGATATCACCCTTCTGTCTGGAGATTTTCTCACACGCTTGTGGATTTTATCGTCTGAAAAGCTGAATAAAGTGAACAGCAGATATGGATTATGAGCCCCAGCGAGTCTCTGAGCTCCTCTATTGATCTCTTTATGTTTTTTTTTATCCTCTGATTTTTCAAGGTCCTAAAACTCAAGCCTTGTTCAACCTGCAAGTCCGCGTCGGCGAGCTGCCGCAGCTCAGACAGAGCAAGCACCGGTTCAACGCCTTCCTGCTCGGCCTGCTCAAGTAAGAACCGACTCAGGTTTTAGCTCACTAGAGATATTAACGATTTACTATTTTCACCATTTTTCACCAGAAACATGTTTCACCATGCTGGATGCACGGTCGTCCTCAGATGTATTCATCCCCTCCCAATAAAGAAAAGATAAAATTCACAATAATCACTCAAATCACTAGAAACTGAAAAAAGTAATAATAAATAAAAATTTGCAAAATTATAATTTGTTTAAATAAGATGTTGCTTTTGTATTTTGGTTGAAAGATTAATTAAAAAAAAAAAAACTGTCCTGGACTTATCAGAGCCCTTTGCTGATGAGCAGTGAAGTCAGAACACCGGTCAACAGGTGCAGAAGTCTGACTGAGAGTTACAGGAAATACTTTGTTCTACTAAATGTTAGTTTATGGGTCCGATCATGCTGGGTTTTTTTTTTTATTATTATTATTTTTTTTTTATATTTCTGTTGAACCACAATTCAAAAGCAATGTCATGATTTTTATTACATTTTTATTTATTATTACTTTAGTCGATTTCAACGTATTTCAGTGACTGAAACTGTTTTTTTCCTTCTTTAATGGGAGGGTATGAATAAATATAAGGACCACTATCTTCCAACAGCTGGCTCCTCTGTTCTCTGGTTCTGATCCATGCTGCATTTATTTATTGATCCACTAAGTTGGATTTTTTTCCTCTCAGTCTCTCTGAGGAAACACTGGCTGCAGTTCAGCTGGAAAACAAACTCTCTGAATTTTTGTCACATGACTGTAGGTCGCAGCTGAGTCACCCATAACTTTACAGTTGCGCCGAGCAGTGCAGAATTTTGTTTTTTTTTTTCTATGGAATCTTGATGCTGCAAAGGGTTTATTTTTTGGCATTTTTTTAAACAAGACATGTCGATTAAAGCCACTTTTTTGGTAGATTTTTAAGATCGAACTGTACGACACAGAAAAATAGTTCACAGGCTGATGGAAAGTTTAAAATCTGATGATGTTTGTTCAGTTTTTGTCTTTGATGAATGGAGTAAATTTTTTTTAGATGATGATTTCAGGTTTTGGAGTGCAGGTTTTATTTTTTTTTTTAGTTTTGAACAGAATCTGTTTACTGACGAGAGTTCATTTCTGGTGAATTTTTAAACGAGACATGGATGTAAAATAAAGTGATTCTGATGAAATATTACAATTTCTAAGCATAGATTTGGTCAAATTTCCTAACGTCATTATTAGTCAGTCTGAAAGTTAAACGTGATGATTCTTTATGAATTTACAGGTTTTTGCTGATAAATGTTAGAATTTTATTTGATTTTTTTAACTATTTTTTTTTAAACCTGCTGGTGGGTGTTTGGGTTCAGAGGGTTCATCCCTGGTCTCCACTTGCAGCATAAAACTTACTGTAGTTTAAAAAGCAGATGCTTTTTTGATTCCACTTCCACTGCATAGTAATTTATTGTCATGTCCTCTTTGCATCTTCATTGTTTCTCTTCTCTTTTCCTTTCCAGCACCAAACTCCTTGACTCCTGGCTGTCTCACCTCCAGTCCTGCGGCGGTGAGTTTCAGTTACGTATTTTTTTAAAACCCATTTAAGTATCTCGTGTAAAACCTCTTTTTCTCTTTAATCAGATGTTCTGGAGACGTACTACCGCCCCAGCTCCTTCATGCGCCTGTCGCTGACCTCCTGCCAGCCGCTGTTCGAGGAGCTGCTGCTGCTGCTGCAGCCTCTCAGCCTGCTCACCTTCAACCTGGACCTGCTCTTCCAGCACCACCACCTGGAGCCCGACGGCCACCGACCTGACATCCCCAGCCCGCCTCTGCAGGAGGCCGGGCTCCAGGCGCCGGCGAAGGGATGCCAGTCCAAAGTGGCGGGCGGCAGATACATGGAGAGCCTCTCGGACGTGGACTTCGGGAGTCCAGAACGTCAGGCGGCCAAAGATGCCAAGTCATTGCTGTCGGCCGATTTAAAGAGCGAAGGATCCACGAACGCCGACGCTGCGGCGCTGAAGGCGCCGGTGCCTCTGGCCCAGACCAGTCCTCAGCTGCTGTGGGTGCAGGAGAAGGAGATCGGAGGGCTGCTTCCACCCAACATCGAGGAGGACAGCTTTGCTCAGCAGGCGGGACAGGTACCATCACCTGATCACCTGATCACCTGATCACCTGATTACCTGATCACCTGATCACTTGGTCACTCTGTATAACAGCTTTTACACTTTTTAACTTTATGAACAATTTACTATTATCCAAAGATCTTCCCTGTTTTATTAAA